TATTTTAGGATTTTTTAATTTTCACAAAATACATAATTATCAATATAATCTCAATTTACCACAATCGAGAATATGGTGAGAGATCTTATCTAAATCAGTATTTCAAAATATTGAACTATCCACTACACCTCTCAATGGGTTTCGGATTTCCTGAATTTTTTTCTTGCAGAAACCCAAAATACTCGTCATGTATCTAAAAATATCAAAAAAATCTAAAATTAGTGTTAAAAACTCTTTACGGCTAATTTTAGGGTTTCGGCACAGCGCCGCTGCCCATGACGGTGGTTTGCCTCAGCTTAGTAGATTTTGGCTGGTTTTGGTCAGTTTTGACCGATTTTTATACGCATCCTTGTAAAAAACACATTAAGAAGCGTCGATTGGCCAGAAAAACTAAAAAATAGAACATATCAAAGGGAGGGGTCTCTGGGTGCGGCGGCTCCGCCGGTTCTCCTTCGCAGCTGGGCATTCTTCTTTGGCTAACCTGCATAAAAAGGAATGGCGAACACAATGGTCAAAGAATCGCGTGAAACGGAAAATGGAAAGGGGCTCATCGGAGGGATTCTTAGGTTTTGGCTGTGGCGGCTCTGTCGGGCTTTACCTGTCGTCCCTCTTGCTTCGATATTACCACAGGGAGGCTCGGAATTGAATTCCGAACAGGTAGGAAAAATTTTACTTTTTTTCGCGGTCGGTGGTGGTGACGGTCAGCTGTCGACCTTTTTCTCCGACATCTGGTTCTTTTTTTCTGGTGGGGTCTAGCGGCTAGGGTTTGGGTTCCCTTGTGAAGGGGAGTTTAAATACTCCTCTCATCTTCGATTCGTGTAGTTCGTTTATGTTGACGTGGAGTGAAGAGAATCGTTCAATCGTTTCCCGTTTAGGCTGATGGCGTAGCCGAATCTCATCCGTTCATCGCATTTGATCTCGTTCATCCAATCAAACCTAAAGGAAGAATGCATCTGGGCCGTCCACGTGCGTGGGATCAATCTTGGGTCGTCGGATTGCTGGGCACGCAGATTGCCTGCGTGGTCCTCCCGCGTGACGCCAACGTTAGCGTGTTTTGCCACAGGTGCGTCCTGATTCATCGTGGCTGCTAACTGGATTGTCTCACGTGGCCGAATTTTTTCTATTTATATTTTGACCCCATATTTCTAATTTTTCTTTCAGAAACACCATCCGAATTCAAATTTTCACCAATTTTCTCTAAAATTATTTTTAATTCCATCCATAATTTATTTTTTCTCAAAAATTCAATGAAGTAAAATATAATAAATTAAATAATTATTTTATAAATAAATTAATAAAAAAATTATCCCGAACTGATTTTCAGTCTCGAATATTATAGATTTCCTTTAAATTCAATACAAGTTTACCTTTTCTTTTTGTTTAAGATAGATTTTTTTTTTTTAATTTTCAGTTGAACTAAAAGTTGATTTGGAAATGAGTTCCACGAAAATTTTGAATATAGTCTAAGTCTACTTAATCTTAATATGAATAACGTAAAACATAATTTGTTGTGTTTGAATTACCGAAACTCTGTTGTAACATGAGCATTATAGATTAATATAAGAATTAGAACTAGAAACTCCTTATACCTCCCAAATTTACAATAATTCTCTAGAGATAAACTGAGATGATATCTTATTGTTTGAATTTGTGTTTAAGAATATTGGGAACGTGTGACAATGACTTATCCGATTTGACCATTTGACTTAGAGCAGAAGATGTATTCCTAAATTTTATTGAAAAGATTTATATGGTGAGAAAATTAAAATA